CCTTTTTTTTTTTTTTTTTTTTTTTTTTTGTTGCTTTTTATATACCACAGCTTGAAACACAGTTTGACATTTCACACTTTTATTTTGTGGAATACACATTTTTAAGGTGTTCCAATACCGTTTTTTCCGTGATGAAAAAATTCTCTTGAAGATAAAGCAAATTATCTATACAATTACTTATAAAGACCTTGACTTAAGATGTCAAACACAGGTTGTTGCCCCTCCCTTTCTTTCCCTCTAGTGACAGGAACCCCCCTGTACACCATTGTATGTTACCATAAGAGGTAAACAACGCCCTACCCCACGTAGATTTGGGATTACTGTTATTGTGCTCTGCTTTGGGAACATAATAGAAACCAACATAGATTTGCTGCCCGAACTTCAACACTTGTATATATATAAATTTCACCTTTTTTCTACCTTACTCTTTCAATTTTGGCATTTTTCTCCCTAGACTCCAGTTTTGAATTGACCTTATCTGATGGCACGATGATGGACCCCAAACAAATAAACGAAGCAGAAATCAACCGAATCTTTACAGGTAACACAGATTGGAGTAAGACTTGTCCTATTCTGTGAACTGGTGATCCTGTCTTGTTTGTCTAGATTGATATGATGCAAGTACAAAAGTCTACAGCCTTCAGCCTTTCTCACTTCCAGGAAGACTTTGTCAGTTTTCCACAGAACTAATTACGTTAAACAATTTGGCCCCCAGACCTTGGCACCTGGCCTGCGACTAGAACCTATTTTATGCAGTAATTATATACGTGTTTGCTGCATTGTTTATACCTTTCTAGACAAATCTACAACAGTATCCCTAATTCTGACTTATACAGTCAATGATGCCTAACATATTGCTTGGATATACCACAGTTTCGACTCATGTGATATATTTTATAGCGAAATCACCCTGCATAAAATTAAATCAGCCCTGTATTGTAACATACAGAGAAAGGGAGTTTTTTCTAACTTCTTACTGGAAAGCCAGAAACTGACATCACTGACAAAAGGAGTTTACTTGCAGCTGAGTGTGAGAAAGAGTGTAAGTGTAACAGGAGAGGAAAAATGCACATATTGGCAGAGAATCCAACCCCGGGCCCTCTGAACTCGAGACGGAGGCTCTACTAATTAGTTAATTAGTTAATTAAAACAAGAATCCTTGACACCAGCATTATCATGCCAATACATTTCTTACCTTGGTCTAAGGGAGACATAAAGATTTATTCACCTGAACAAAGTCACATGATCTCTGTGAATCTCATTAGTGGAACATAGTGGTACATGTGGACATTACATATTTCTATTATGTCATGGTGATAAACAGTTTATCAAACTTTTAAGCCAAATTTTAATCTCAAACAATTACAAAGAATTCAGAGGTCGTTATTTGATCAATGCTTAATGCCTCCGCTAGGAGTCGAACCGGGAACCCTGGTTTACCAGCCTGATGCACTAACACATCGGCTTAAGAGATGTTCTCCCTAGCCAAGTTAGTAGGAAGCGTCTTATGTTTTACCAGATTGACAAATGTATATCAGTACATAGCAAAAAGTACTTGACTATTCCAGTCATCTTGCTGTTTGACAATTAGCATTGCATGATGGTCAGAGGGAGACAACTCTGTCACCCAATTGAACTGATTGTCTAAGAAGGGCTTTGGAATGTTACCTTCTTGGGGATAGACTTGACCTCACCTCACCATGTGACCAATTTAATCCAATCATAGTGACTGTTTCATAGAGATAACAATAGTTTTTATAAGATATTACAGAACACATCACGTCTGTGATGAATCCCCTGAAGAACATCTTGCGATGACTCAAAAGTTCAAATACTATTTTATCATCTTTATTTTGCGAAAATTGCGGAGTGGAGCGTGCCTATATTGGTGAATATTACAATAATTGTGTATGAAACCCTGTAAACGGTGCTAATAAACCACACACAGACTCGTCCGTTTTTATATCGCTGAAGTGTCACATGCCCTGTTATTGTTAGATGAGAAAATCAAAACTGTTATTTTTTTCTCCTAAATGTCAAAAATAAATCTCTAGATGCCTGCTAGGGTAATCATTACATGTCAAAATCAGCGGTCGCCTGAAAATTGATAAATTTGTGTCCAAAGACATTTTTCCTGTCAGACCTAATGAGGCTAGCTATGATGTTTGAAGAAGTAAAGTATTGGAGGGGAAAATAGAAAAAAGAAAAGTTCAAACAATCAATCATTTCATATCAGATTGATAAAATGTACAACCTTAACAACCAAAAGGACCATGTGACAGTCACAAGATTCATGTTAGTAATGGACTAACACACACACTTTAACCCTTTCACCCCTAGGTAACTTTAGTAGACTCTACCATACATGGATTTGGATGAGTCTATTATGGTCTACAGTGTTGAAAGGGTTAATTAATTAAGAACATGTGGAAACATTTCTGGATATAGGCCAAGTTATAGTTGATGACTGCAGTCGCTGGAGATCATCTGTCTTAATTATTTCTCTAAAATAACTAAATGAATTTAAAATTTACAGAGATACGTCAAAGTAACAGTGATTTATCATCGTATCAAAACTGTCACTCTCACTTAGTAACATAAACTAGAACACAAACCACTCTGCTTCAAGTTAAAATGTCAAGGATGATCAAAGGTCATGTTCAAGGTCAAGGATGATCATAGGTCATGTTCAAGGTCACTGGATGATCAACATTCTGAGGGAAACTAACAGAATGAATCACTCCTGTATGTATGAGACAGACAAATCTCGTCCCAAAACTAAGATTTTTGAGGATCAGAACAGGCTTTATTTCATCCAATAGTTGTCGTTTCTCTGTCCACATCACATATTAGTAAATGAGTTTTTCACTTCATAAAAAGTAAATAACTTCAAGTTACAATCATATAACCAAATACACCGCAAAGTGAGAGTGGAGTGTGGACATAAATCTAACCTCTGTGCTTCCCTCGTGTAATAAATCTAACCTCTGTGCTTCCCTCGTGTAATAAATCTAACCTCTTTGCTTCCCTCGTGTAATAAATCTAACCTCTGTGCTTCCCTCGTGTAATAAATCTAACCTCTGTGCTTCCCTCGTGTAATACATCTGTGATGTCAACAACAAAAATAATGAGTTTGGTTGGAGTGGATCAAAATAAGATGTTT